TTTTCATTGGTGAGGACTCGACGGATGAATGATTGAAAAAGAATCTCGAGATGTCACTTTTCTAGAAGATCTTTTCCCTAAAAAGAATGAGATAGATAAAAATGGTCTTCATTTTTTGAGATAGAAGAAGACGATGATATGCCTAAAAGTTGATCGAAGTCGATGCTCAACTAGATATGTAAAACTCTCTTCTTTCGAGTGGGAGTTTTGAAAGAACAACACCACTATCTCAATTGAGTGGGAGGAATGAGGACGATCCAATTTCAATTAGTGTTAATAATGATCCTTATTTACGTAGGAGCAATAAACCGAGAATTCCTTAAAAACGATTTGAAATTGAGAATGAAGCCTACATTGTAACCCCATAAGATGGTGAAGAACCTAGAATAGTGCAAGAGGCACTATCATGTCTTGCTAAAGAGAAATGGAAAGTTACAATAGAAGAGGAAATGGAATCCATGAAGGTAAACCAAGTGTGGAGTTTGGTTGATTTTCTCGCTAGGTCATAAAGCCATTGAGAATAAATGGATTCTCAAAATAAAACTAAAGGCAGATGGATCAATTGAACGATATAAAGGTTGTCTTGTGACTAAAGGTTTTACCCAAAAAGAGGATATAGATTACGAGGAAACCTTTTCTCCTGTTGTTAGGTTTGCCTCGATAAGATTAATTTTAGCCATTGTTGCATATTTAGATTTAGAATTACATCAAATGAATGTAAAAATGATTTTCCTTAATGAAGAGTTAGAGGAAGAAATCTATATGGAACAACCTATAGGTTTCATTGTTGAAGGCCAAGAGCACAAAGTTTGTAAGCTCCAAAGATCTATTTATGGTCCGAAACAAGCATCTAGACAATGGTACCTTTTTTTTCATAAGGCAATAATGACTTATGATTTAAGATGATTGAGGAAGACCATTGTGTTTAAATTAAAAAAGCTGAAGAGAATTTTTTGAAAATGATTTAAAATTGAGAATGAAGCGTACATTGTAACCCTACAAGATGGTGAAGAACCCGAACGAGTGTAAGAGGCACTAACATGTCTTACTAAAGAGAAATGGAAACTTGGAATAAAAGAGGAAATGCAATACATGAAACTAAACCAAGTGTGGAGTTTGGTTGATCTTTCGTTGGGTCGTAACGCCATTAGGAATAAATGGATTCTCAAAATAAAATGAAAGATAGATGGATCAATTGAACGATATAAAGCTCGTTTTATGGCTAAAGATTTTACCTAAAAAGAGGGTATAGACTACGAGGAAACCTTTTCTCTTGTTGTTAAGTTTGCTTTGATAAGATTAATTTTAGCCATTGCATATTTAGATTTAGAATTACATCAAATGGATGTAAAAACGGCTTTCCTTAATGGAGAGTTAGAGGAAGAAATCTATATGGAACAACCTATAGGTTTCATTGTTGAAGGCCAAGAGCACAAAGTTTGCAAGCTCCAAAGATCTATTTATGTTCTAAAACAAGCATCCAAACAATGGTACTTTCGTTTTCATAGGGCAATAATGACTTATGATTTAAGATGATTGAGGAAGACCATTGTGTTTAAATTAAAAGAACTGAAGAGAATTCCTCAAAAATGATTTGAAATTAAGAATGAAGCCTACATTGTAATCCCACAAGATGATGAAGAACCTAGAACAGTGTAAGAGGCACTAACATGTCTTACTAAAGAGAAATGGAAAGTTGCAATAGAAGAGGAAATGGAATCAATGAATCTAAACCGGGTGTGGTGTTTGGTTGATCTTCCGCCAAGTCGTAAAACCATTGGGAATAAATGGGTTCTCAAAATAAAATGAAAGGCGAGATGGATCAATTGAACGATATAAAGCTCATCTTGTGGCTAAAGGTTTTACCCAAAAAGAGGGTATAGACTACAAAGAAACCTTTTCTCCCGTTGTTAGGTTTGCCTCGGTAAGATTAATTTTAGCCATTATTGCATATTTAGATTTAGAATTACATCAAATGGATGTAAAAACGACTTTCCTTAATAAAGAGTTAGAGGAAGAAATCTATATGGAACAACCTATAGGTTTCATTGTTGAAGACCAAGAGCATAAAGTTTGCAAGCCGCAAAGATCTATCTATGGTCCGAAACAAGCATTCGAACAATGGTACCTTCGTTTTCATAAGGCAATAATGACTTATGATTTTAAGATGATTGAGGAAGACCATTGTATTTAAATTAAAAGAACCGAAGAGAAGTTCGTAATTCTATCTTTATATGTTGATGATGTTTTAATAGCTAGGAATGATAAAAATTTTATCATGTCTATCACAAGCATGGTTATCCATAAATTTTGACATGAAGGACATTGTAAAGCAAACTACATTTTGGGAGTTAAGATCATTAGAAATCGTTCAAAAATTTTTTTGGCTTTGTCACAAAAACATTATATCCGGAAAATTTTAGAACGCTTTCATATGAGTAATTGTAAGTCCGTGGACACCCCTGTGTCAAAATGTGAGTCTTTAAGTAGTAAAATGTGTCCTAAAAATCTAGAAGATAAAAAGGAGATGTGTAAAGTATCATATTCAAGTGCAGTTGGAAGCTTTATATATGCAATGATGTGTACTCGTCCGGATATATATTTTACCATTGGTTTGGTTAGTCAATTTCAGTTGAATCCCGGTCGAGAATATTGGAAGACTATTAAAAAGATCTTGAGATATCTCGAGGGCACTATGAATTATTGTACGTGTTACCAAGGGAGAAATTTACATTTGAATGGATACTCGGATGTTGATTAGGGAGAAGACCTTGATGAGCATAAATCCATTTACGGCTATACTTTTCTACTTAACAATGGCATAATCTCTTGAAAAAGCAAGAAACGGACCTACATAGCTTTGTCTACTATGGAGGTTGAATTTATAGCATATTCGATTCTTTGTGTAAGGAGCGAGTTTGGTTAAGGAGATTCTTTGAGGATTTAAAAGTTAATAGTAATAGTTTGGGGTCTATTATCGTACTATTGTGACAACCATGCGGCTATTGCTTATACTAAGGATCCCAAATACTATAGTAGAACCAAACATATTGACACTTAAGTATAACTACGTTAGAGACATCATAGGAAAAAGAGAAGTGTTAGTACAATATATATCTACGCATCAAATGATAACGGATCCTCTCACAAAACCTATACCAAGAGATGTGTATCTTAGACGAGTTAAATCTTTTGGAATGTGTAGATTTTAACTTTGTCATGATAATGAACGAGTTGAGCTTGTATATTATACTATTTTATTATGAATGCAATGTGATATATATTTACATGTTATGTATGTTACTTTTTTAAAGCTCAATTTTTTAAGTCACACGAGTTTAGATTGACTCTCTCACGCGAGCAATCGCCTTTATCATTAATGAAAACGAGTAGAGATGAGACAATGCTCCTTTAGCGTTATTAAGAGCGAGTAGAGTGGAGATAAGATTAAGAAAGTGTCGCCTTAATTATAAAATTAAGATGAGATTGTAAACCAATATATATTTCTTTTACAATTGATTTGGAAAGCTCGATCTAAATAACTTGTGAAAGCTAGATTTGAGATCTTAGTGATTAAAACTCGTTGAGAGAAAACACCATGAGAACTCGGAGTTAGTCATTTATGTCCAATGATTGAACTAAGATCCGTACGAGTGTGTATAAGATATGATGAATGGGAACACTATAGTATGTGATTCATACCACGTGTGCTAAAACAATCACAAAAGATAATGGAAGAATGAATCCTCGTTTCTCTACTATGTGAGATCTTTAGAGGAACAATAATATTCTCTAGATAATACCCTTATCACTTTTACTATTATTCGAGATCTAGGCTCGGTGTTTGCTATCTTACCTAGCTACTTATGATCATGTGTGATTCGATTTATAGAACTTGTCTAGAAAAGCGACTAAGCTTTAAATTAAGAATTTCGAGTAAGAAAGGAAGATGTGTTCGGTATATTCATAGGCGGGCAATCATGTCGCTTGAGAGAAGCATTACTTGGGAATAGTGTGGACATGATTATGGATATAAAATATGATATTAGATTAATACCGAATGAGGGATTTGATATAATGAGATATTCAATACAAGGAACCATATAGGATATTGTGAGATTTACGATATATTATATCTCGTATATCATTCATTAATCTAAGGTAGTAGCTACTATGTTATTCCTAACAAATGTATAGTAATAAGCTCCCAAAATGCAGGAATGCTCGCTCGGTCGCACGATCCATTTACTTGTATGAACATATACCTTTTTGTTTTACCATCGATATTGCAGAGAGCCTCGCATAGGGTCTAGCCCGTCATGTGCGAGTGGGAGATGTTAGAAAAATAAAAGAATTTGGATCGAGTCGCCCATGATAGGTCAATCCAATAAGAAAATAATATTGTCAAAACGAGTTACAGGGAAATGTTGTTTCCCTTCATCTCCTATGCATATATATATATTTATGCGTCCATGGAAAAAGAGAGATAGACAAGATATAGATAAGAGAGAAAAAAATAAAAAAAATAAAAAAGGAGAGAAAACAAACATAATAAAAAAACTCTCTACAAACAGAATACTAAAGCAAGAAGGATTGTCTTGGCACTTGGATTGTGAAAATAAAGATAGTGATTTAATATTACTGTCTTGATCTAGTGAAACTATTTACAGATAAGTGTTTCGATCCTAATTATTTTTATTTTTGAAGTATTTATTATAATCTTCAGCTGCTTTTGTGAGTAAAATCCTACACTATTATATAAAAACAGGTTGACCTATTTACCCTTTTGATTGTTAAATATTGTTTCATTGCAGCTTACATACATCACCAGATTTACACTTGATTTGATTGAACAAAAGAAAATAACCCAGGACAAGAACTCTCTGGTGACATGATACACCAAAGGCATATATGATGTTTACAATCAAATAGACTAGACTGTCAAATTTGAGAGAGGAAACAGAAAATGAGGTAAAATGTGGGTATGCTAAGGAACTGCCTCATTGAAGACCATAAACAAGCAATGCACCAACTGCACCAACTCCAGCCAGCAGCCCAATAATGACCCCAATAGGAGGCAATCCACCTCCTACTGCTTTTCCAGTGTTCACATCGTATCGAGCAAATCTCTTCTTTGGTGCGCTACATTGTGGGCATACATATGCATCCGGCTGCATAAAACAACACAAGAAAGCAATCAATAAACTTTTGACCTATGATTATTTGGTCAAAAAGAGGTAAAACGTGGCTTTATATGTCATGTCATAAATCAATTTAGTAACATCAAATTAGAGAAATCTTTAGTAATCATTATGAGACAACAAACTTCAACCAAATATTGTAGAAAAATGTTTGAGTTTCATACGCGAGTGAAGAATCTCATATAAGTTAGTAATGGAGAGGTTTGAAGTGCTTAGATATACAATGGACCCATGATCTTAGTCTAAGATTTTGGGTTAAGATGATGTCCATCCTTGTGTGTAAGCCTCTCGTGTGCAGACTCAGGTGCAGACAGGAGTGACTTCCTAGTACAGATCTTCCCAACAAGTGGTATTAGAACCGATGGTTCGGTTTGGATCGAGTGGCGATTGTGGATAGCCTCTCATGGCTTTGCCGGTTTCTCCATTGTTGAGCAAAAGAGCTAACTTTCAAGCTGTATGACCCTTTAGTCTAGACTTTTGGATTAAGGTGACGTCTATCTTTATATGTAAACCCTCTCATGTGTAGCCCAAGTGACTCCCTAGTGTAGATCTCTTCCAACAAGAAGCATCTCTATGTTTACATACCTCACTCTCTCACAAGCGAAGGCCCACACCCAATGAAGATGATCCTCGACGTGCCTTAGCCAATATTTCCTTTTATGTCTTCCATTCTTTTCTCTATCACTGATCAATAATCATCTCAATAGTTGCTCTGTTTTGTTTAATTCAATCTATTCGCTATCTCTCCCCAGATAACTGATAATTGTATATCATCTTCATGATTACTTAGGAAAAAGAAGAACGTAAAAACTCTCTAAACAAATGAGACAAACTTGCCTGCTCCTCAAAAGGTTTCTGTAAGGTGTATATAAATCCACAATCAAGGCATATGTGAGTTGCTCTAGCCTGCAAAAAGCTTTACATTATTAGTGTTTAGCGACCAGACAAGTAAGAACTAATTTCATACAAAAGCATGCTATTAAAACATTAAATTGATTTAGAAAATTATACAGAATTGCATAAAAAGAAAAAATAATCTTGCCTTTTGGGCCTCAGTCAACTTCCTTCCAAAGCGAGGAGGGGCAGGACGCTTCGGCAGCCGTTTGACATCTACTTCTGCCCCTCTGTTTTGCAATAGAGATCAACGCGCTGTCAGTTTTGAAGAACACATATAACTAAAGGAAAATGAGTTATCAGCTTATGTACGCTTATAGTACTCCAAGAATTAAGGCTGTATTTTATTCTTGGTGTTTTGGAACTTCATTGATAGACATAGATGGCAAAAATCAGCATATACCAGCCATACTACCACAATCTATTAGAAGAGACATTCTCCAGCAGATTTATTTGATTAACCACTGGAAGTTGTCAAAACTTGTGGAATAAAAGCCTGGGTGGCAAATGGCAAGAACAATAGCTTATACAAAAACTCTTATCTGAACTTCCTTCGTTAGTGCTCAGAAGCGGGATAAACATACATACTCCCAATAAACCCGACCTTGTAGGTTCTTTTCATACAGTCCTTGTTCACTATAGATAGTTTAATTTTACTAGTATCAAGAATGCTATCTCTACTTATGAGTTAAACATGAGATGCACAAGCAACGACCTCCCTTAACAGAACCTATAATTTGATAAATATTTGTCCATAATATTTGTTGTTCAATCAACATAATTAATTCGTCTTAGCTTACCTACGCTACGTCTTTACTCAAGTTGTCATCAATTGAAATCACAGTACTTTCTATGGTAGAACTTATTTTTCATGGCTACTAGCTATGCATATCTTTAATTATGGATCTTTGAGATATTCAATTAAAAATTGTTACTTTCCAATAACAAGTCATCAAATTCTGTATTGTACAGGAATTTCAAAGTAGTGCATTTGTTCATCACCTACAGTCTAATTTCTCTTCTACTGTCCATTTTAGATATGCAAGGTCACTCCTTAATAACCAACACAAACAGAGGGGCTACCCAAAGAAGCTACTAGCTATGCATTTCTCTTCATTCATATAATTGGAATCCCAATTCTGTGAATCTTACGCCATCACTAATCTCACAAATGTATTGTGAATATAGCAGAAATTAGACGGTAGAGGGAAAGATCACCTGCTAACAACAAAATAAACAGAATCTGGCTTTGCTTGGATGGCAGTTTTAGTAAACCCCAGCTTATCAGCAGGCCAAAGTTCATCCCCAAAGAAGCTACTAGTGTAGAGTACCTGGTCCCCTGCTTTTAGCCCTGATTTGGCTGCATTCCCACCCCGCTCTACAGCCTAATTACTAATGTCAATTTCATCAGTAACAACTAACAAAAGAATGACCAAAACACAAAAACGTAGAATGCAATTATAAGGAGACTCACAGCGATTACTACAACACCAGCAGCCTTTTGACCCAAAGTGAGCCCCAGTGGCTTGTCAACCTCAACCTCAATTGTCTTTGCAGCCCCAGCTGTCCTGGCAGTGACCCGAAGCCCTGTTCTTACATTGACGAAACTGCTGCTTTTGTTATTAGGCATGAAGATATCTGAGCAACCCCTTTTGCCATCTTGAAGTGTTAGTCCTTGAAAGTTGGTTTTCTATGAAAGAAAGAAAGAAAGAGAGAAAGAATTGTATTTATTCATTAATTCTCACTTGCCAGTAAAACAAATATGCAAGACATAAATTAACCTGGCCGCAATGAGAGGAAATGAGTGATTTTGTAGATGTAGCTGCGGTAGTTTTAACGGAGTGGTTCTTGCTAAAGGTTGCAGAGCAAGATGTGGAGGTGGTTCCTGCAACTAGAGCTGACGACATTGCTGATACCTCTTACCCAGATCGCTAGAAAGAGCATGTATGTCTTGTATTGTGGTAATAGTCAGTAAAATTGGTTACTCTTCTTGTTCAAGTTTGTGGATAGAAAATGGTACGAGTAGATAACCTTCTAGTGGCAGCAGTATTGGCATTTGGCATATGGATTGTGGCCATGGTGGGACTGGAAGCTAGAGGAGCCACGACACGCGCCTTTCTTTCTTAAATTATTACTTGTTCAGCTTTACTATCACTAATCCTAGCGAAGAGGAAGTATAAAAACTTAGGCACTATCGACATCCAGTGGAATTTTCAATACACAGTATATTACATAATCAGAGTGTTTCAACTCGTTGTCATAACGGGTATGATGCATGGAGATGATAATGAATAAAGTAAAATAATCCTTCTCGACTGATCATAGATGGGATGAAGTTTTTTTTTTTTTTTTTGTTTAATTTTTTTTACTTGTGAGGTATTCATTGGATATCCCAACCAATCTGGATTTTTCTATTTTTTAATTTTAATTATAGTACCTTACAAAAACACTTTAATAAATTATTATATAAAATCTTTCATATCTAATAAATTATTTTTATTTAAGATAGAGATAAAATTCTAGAAGAATCAACCTTACAGCAACTATTTTACAAATATCTTCTAATTGAAAAACTAATACAACTTATCGAAACAATCAAATAATAAAAAATCCTCAAACAAAAGTAAACATGAACAACAAGTCAATCCATATTATAACAAACCTCTTTATATGTGTGAGAAATTTCAACCTGCCACAACTGATTAAAGAGTTCACGAATGGTATAAATCAGTTGACTGTAGTCGAAATGATAGTCACTCGGAGAAGAAAGTAATGGAATAATCAATTTTGAGTCAACTAGTTAGCAACCTGCGCTTCGCCGCAGGCTTGGTATAACCATTAGAATTCAGCAGGAGGTGCATAATGAGCTAAATTCAGTAATTTCTGAGTGTTAGTATTGGCTATGGTAGTGTTGTTGTGGTTTTTTTTTTTTTTTTTGGTAATTTTACAGATCCTCAAAAATATATTAAATTAAAAAAAAATCTATTCAATGTTATGATTTTTTTTAATCAAGATCTTGTATTTGAATAGTTATTTCTTGTGTTTTTCATAAATTTTCTTATATTTTTTTCTTTATTCAAATTCTTAACTAAAAACTTGTTTTATAAATTATTTTTTTCTAAGAATCTCAAACAAATTATGAAAAAACTTTTAATCTTTAAATTAAGTTTATATATAAATTTGGTTTAAAGGTTAAATGATATTTCATTGTTATCATTTAATATACAACATTTTTTTCAAAACCAAAGTTAATTAATCAAAATCATTTGGAAAGCCAAATAATTTGAAACAATAATAATAATAATAATGATAATTGATGTCAAAAACAATTATTATAGTTTTTTTTTAAATCCAAAACCGTATTTGTAATATGAATATTTGATAAAACTTAATGTTCAAAATTGTAGCCATATAAAATATAACTTTCACACTTAACATAAATATACATATTTGTAATTAATATTGTGTAAATAGTTAAAAAAAAATGATTTTTTTAGTTTATACACTTGACTTATAATAGTGTAAATAGTATATTGAGTCATTAACATAGGTTTTTAGAAAAAGGATCAACTAATTTATTTTTTCAAATTAACAAGACTAATTTGTAATTGACTCCATTAAACACTGCACATGCAGGCCTTTGAATTTGCTGCATGGAACACATACCCAATATAAAAAATTGAGAGTAAATTATATCCTAACTCCTTTAGTTTTTGATAAATGAACTAATTAACTAATTTTATTTTTCAAATTAATTATTAATTTAATCCCTATTCATCCTATTTAATATAAAATATTTTATTTTTCATCACTCTTTTCATTCTATAAATTTATTTATTGTTTGTGTTTTATAATTAGTTTTTAAAATAAAAAGACCAACTAATTTATTATTTCAAAATAAAAGGACTGATGTATAATTTAATTAACTAAAGCCTATACATGCAAGTTTTGATTCTTATCCTCTATCAAATCTGAATCTGCACGTAGCTTTACATGGCGGGGTTGGGTGGCTTAGAGGCATTATAGAGTATAGGTTTCTGCATTTGTCTCTATGGCTGAATCTGAGTTTTTTTTTTTTTTTTACATGCATAAAAAATACTCATTGATTCCAATAAAAAAAAGTTTTTGCAGATTAAAAAAAAAAAAGAATAGTATTACGGATTTCAAAAAACAATTATGCATGATCGTGAAAGAGAAGCCGCTCATGCAAAAGTTTTAAAGAAAAATCATAACACTTGCAGCAAAAAAAAAAAAAAAGAAAGACAACTGTAATTATTATAAATGTTTGGAACTCGTGCTTGGTGCTTTCAGAAAATTAATCCTAGCCAGTTGATGAACATCAATCTGGACTCTTATTTTATCTCACTAAGAATTGCTCCGTACAAATGTTAAAAACCTCAAATTACCCTCTCTTCTATTTTGTGAATATATTTGGAATATAATACAAAGAACTCAATTTTATAGCTACCACATCTCAAAAAAAAAAAAAAAAAAATTGAAGGTTTTTTTACTTAATATTGTTTATTTCTTTTATAAACATGTATTATTATTTGTGAGCGTAAATAATTAATATTTCATTGTTGTCATTAATTTAGACGTCTTGATATATTAAATTAATACATAATATGAAAAATTATATTTTTAAAAACTAAATTACACACAATTTCTACTTCCATCTCACATATGACTTGAGCTTTTATGGCAATTTCATGTAATCAAAGTAAACACGTGATGCATACCAATGTTACATTCATGCTATGAGCTTTTTAAAGAAATTAAAAATAAAACAACCTAATGACTGCTGACAATTCATAATGATTTTAGCAAAACACTTGCCTAGACATAAGACATGAGTCTTTGAGTCCTTAAACCCAAGGAAAATGCCTTGACTGGCCCAAATGAACTACAATTGTTGGAGCACCGATTGCTTTGAGTTTGAGTAACCCTTTTGCTGGAATGCGCATCAATGAAGCCTGTGCAGAAAATTAGGTTCAGAAAACAATCCACCCAACAAATAAAAAAATCACATGAAAATACATTTTTATAATAAAAGAAAAGAAGAACTGATACAGTAAATGAAGTATCAGGATTACTTATAGGTGGTATGCCATAACGTTGAGAAATATTCTAGATCCTAGATAACAAAATCACAAACATGAATTAAAAGAAGCATTAAAACTAAAATAAACCAATAAATTTATTCATAATAATACTAAAATCCATAGCCAGTTGTGAACCACCAACCACATGATAACAATATCACTCACTGAATCTCTAAAATACTCATATATAACACTGTCGTTAAAAAAACCCTAGATCCACCACTGATAAAACACTAATTACTTAACAAAACTATAAATAAATCTCAAAACCATATCCAATCTCCTAATTGCATGTCACTCCTTCAGATCTTGAGTCCATGTCCAAAACAGAGGCACCGTGGCTGAGACACAAACAAAGCTTAAGGAAGGAGAGATGCTAGCAGCGGCGGCCGTTGGTGTAGGAGCTGGAGTAGAGACGGGAGCGATAGCATGAACGGGGATGGCAACGAAAGGCAGAGCCAAAATGGCAATGAGACTTGCTTTTGAGAGTGCCGTTTGTTTGTTAATGGGATTTTTGAAAATTAGAAATGAGAGAATGTGAAAGAAATTGAAATGCAAGAGATTTATGATTTGTTATGTGAACTGGAAAGGAGAAAGAGGGAAAGGGCGTTTATACAGGAGTGAGAGAGGGAAAGGTGCCTTGGTAGAGGAAGAAATGAAATGACAAAAAAGGATGAAAATCAAGAAAAGAAAGATCATACGGCAGGGAGGATAAAGTGTTATCAAACAACTATAATGGCATAAGAGAAATTTATGTTGTAAAACATGGGTTGCAAACAATCAAGTTGCTAAACAACTAAAAGCATAGAAACATTGGCTGCCAACAAAACCATTAAAAATTAAAAAATCCAACGGATGATATGAAATCCAACTGCTGACAGCTAAACCAACAATCTGTAAAAAGGAAGCAATGGGTCAGATGCAACAAAAAGCAACAAACAGTGTAAATGAGTGTTAGTCCATAGTGAAATTTGAGTCGCAATAAATAGTTAATGAATAGTAATCATCCTAGTTCTTTTAGTTTTTCTGGTAATTTTAAGCAGGCGAGCAACACCTATTTATGATCAGAATACCAAACCATATGTAAACCAATAAGGATGCCCAAAAGCAGTGTGAAGCAAACTTAAATCTATTATGTATCCATATTTTTGTGATTTTTAGATATTTACATGCGATTTTTATCTAATATTATACTTTTGTTCTTAAGGTTTTTAAAATTTTTGTTTTGATTTTCACTTTTATTTATATCTCAGTTGATCCTTGATTATAAAAAAGAAAGAAGAAAGAAAGTCACGTCTAGACACATTTCGACTAGGGATCTTTTTATTAATTTGTTTCTCGATACGAGAGTTTATTTATGATAATTTTAAGTTATAAAATTATTAAAAAAGATAAATTGAGATTCCAAAATATTTTAAGATTTTGAATTTGATCTGATTTTTTTTTTTTTTTAGTAAAATGAGTTTTAAGCCTCCAAATGAATTTCTTGGCTCTATTTCAATGTTTTTAAAGTGTCTTGGGACAAAAATAATTAATGAATTGGCTTTTAGAGCCTAGAAACTAGAAATTTTGATTTTTCAGCGAAGTTGCCGACCAATTCAAATTCATCAGAATTACAGATGGACCACGCATCACCTGTTATGCATGTGCAGGCGACACGTCGTCTGCTACCTATGACTCGAGTGACACGTCATCTATTTGTTTTTTTTTTAAAAAAAAAAAATTTGATTGGACTACGTAGGTATTCTTTTAAATTGTAATACTAAATATTGAGTCTATTGATGGGACATTCAACCTATTTTGATCCCGATCAATTAAGATTTAATTGAATTGAAGGAGTCGGACACTAGTAAATTGATGAAAGTGCCATCCCTAATGTTGTATAGTGTCTACTAGTTTTTTTACTTACAATGTACAAGTTACATAAAATAATTTTTACAAAATTATTTTATTTTAATGTGTCGTATTATATTGTGTGTCTATCAAAATATATCAAATCAAAACTGAATAACAATTTATTCAATTTTATCATTCTTAATCAAAATTTTATATTTGATTAATTATTCTTTATATTTTCATAAATTTTTTATTAAAAAAAAATTTATTTATCTCTATCCATATTTTTAGCTAAACCTTATTTTGTAAATTATTTTTTTTACTAAGCATCTTTTTACCTTAAAAGTTTTAATTAAAAAAATCAAAGAAAAAAAAACACCAAAGTGACCAAAACGAAACAAAATAGTGAGACCAAAATGGAATAAAAAAATATTTATGGATTAAAAAAACAATGTTTAAAAAAAGAGACCAAAGTGTAATGTCACGAAAACTTTCATAAATAAATGCCTTAAAAATGTTTAAAAACTATAAAAAATACTATTATATAATGAAAGAAATAATGCATCCGAGTCTTAGTGAATAATGCGAATGAGTTTGGATGAATAATACTTCAAATAGTATAGTAAATAGTAACCGATGGTTTTAGTTTAGTTTTTTTTTGTAATAACCGTCAATGCACTTTTAGAAATTAATGATTTTATTCTTGGATAAATTATCATATCTTTTTTCTTAATAATTTTATCATAATCAATTCAAAAAAAGGTCGACTTTAATGAAATACTATATTATTTAATTTATACATATTTAAAATTATTTGAATTTTAAAATATTTTACACATACTATAATTATGACTAGATTTTTATTCAATCTATGCTACGGATTGGAAATAACATATAAAGTTATTTAAAAAATAATTTCGAGTTTGATGATACTTATTATATTATGAATCTACAAAATATTTCAAATCAAAAGTAAAATCAAAACTATTGTTTTGAATTCTATGTTTAACTAATCATTTATTATGTTTTTCATAATTTTTTTTTGCTAAAAAACACGATTTATTCTTTTATATTTGAATTCTTAACTAAAAACTTGTGAGAAAATTAAAAAATCTATGGATTCTTACTAAAACTTTTCTTATAATTTTTTTTCAAAAAAATCTAAGACAAATTATCTAAAAAATACTTTTATTCTTTAGATTATATATATATATATATATATATATATATATATATATATATATATATATATATATATATATATATATATCATGCTTTTATCATTTAAAAATTCAAATAATTCATTATATAAAAAAACTTAAGAGCAAATAATCATGTTCTAGAAATTCATTATATATATTTAACCATGTTATACCATTTAAAAATTAAAAGAATTTATCATATAAATTATATCAATTTTTTTAAAAACAAATAAAAATATTCTAAAACTTCATTAAAAAAATCCATACATAAATCTCTCTCCTCCCTTCCTCTCTTTTTATTTCTCTCTCCTCTTAGTAGCTAGAGACCGAATTATAATACAAATAAAATTATGGATCAAAATAAAAATTATTGAAAAAATGAGGGATAAAAAAATAGTATGAGTAAAACTTTACATGTAAAATGCTTGAAAAAAATCTTAAAATTACTTAAAAAAAAACTATTAAAAGGTATGCTAATAGTGTTTCTGAATGAATTAAATGACTACAAATATACTTAGAATGACAAAGATACCACTTCTTTCAAATTATAAAAATATCATCAAGTGGATAATATTACTTGCGTATGTGAACATTACACGAATAGTAAAAACTCAATAATTGTGATAACACGATGATCTCAAGTCATAAGAGGCTTATAAAATTAAAGATTCCGGCAAAGCAAATGATCTCTCTCTCATACGCAACCCCCCAGCTGTCCACTCTCTATTGTTTCCCCAATCAGTTGCCTCTCCCCTTTTGAGAAACCCGAAAAAGCAGGTGAACCATGTCCGTCACTACCGGCATGCTACCATACAGCACGTCCCAACCTCAAGGCTTCCACAGCATCCGCATGCGCAAACCCATTTCTTACCTCCACAAATATCGCACGTGCCTTGCTCCACCACCAAGTCGTTTCCGGATGACACGTTGTGCGGCGGCAACCACGGACGTTACCGATACTCGAGAGCTTAAGCAAGGCATAGCGGAGCTCTACGACCAGTCGTCTGGTCTCTGGGAGGACATATGGGGAGACCACATGCATCACGGGTTCTACGACCCGGATGAAATAGTTTCCGGGACTGATTCGGATCACCGGGCTGCCCAGATACGAATGATACAAGAGGCCCTCAGTTTTGCCGGCGTTTCGGGTTTGTTAGTTATTTCTTGCTGGCTCTATTTCCATTTACCAATTATCATATCTCAGTATGTGAATGAGAAGAAGCTTAAAAATAAAGTCTTGGTCCATTAATTTTATATCTGAATTGGTAACTAGAGGACCAAGGAAAAAGGCCAAAGAATGCGGTTGATGTTGGGTGTGGGTTAGGAGGCAGCTCCAGGTATATAGCAAGGAAATATGGAGCCAAATGCATAGGCATCACACTTAGTCCCATCCAAGCCCAGAGGGCCAATGCTCTTGCTGTAGCTGAAGGATTAGCTGACAAGGTGTGTGCTCCAACTTTGAAATATTTTACATTAATTTAAGCTCCAATTAGCTCGGTATTATAATTGTATATAAACTTTAGCATCTCTTTCTTTCGCCAAAGACAAAGGTAGTCGATATCTAAAATATGATCATGTTAACTTTCGTTTCTGTTTATTATTTTTTTGTTTATATTGATGGGACCCGCTGAAAGAATTGGATCTGCTTCTGTAGTATCATTACTTATTTCTCGCATCATCATCATTTTGTCACTGTGTAGATGGTGTACTACTCTTAAGGTTTAGCCATAACAATGTCAACATTTAGCAGGCTTCCTTTCAAGTTGCAGATGCGTTAGAGCAGCCATTTTCAGATGGGCAGTTTGATCTGGTTTGGTCAATGGAGAGTGGAGAGCATATGCCTGACAAAAGAAAGGTTTTGCTTCTTCCTTGCACCTACTAGGTTCACTTATTGTTCATTTCTACACTTAAATTGCCCATTTCTTGTTATACTCGGTTATATATCTCAAGTTGGTCTCCCTGTTTGTTCAAACTGGCAGTTTGTTGGTGAGTTGGCTAGAGTTGCAGCGCCAGGGGCCACAATTGTCATACTAACATGGTGTCACAGGGTTCTTGGCCCTTCTGAAGAATCTCTGCAGCCACGGGAGCTGAAGCATCTTAAAAAGATATGTGATGCTTACTACCTTCCGGAATGGTGTTCTACTGCTTATTATGTCAACTTACTCGAGTCCCTCTCTCTTCAAGTAATTACTATCTTAAATTTGGCTGAAACTCACTTGAATCAGTCTCTAATCAACCCCCACCAGCTGAAACCTTGCGCTGAAGGATTGAACATTTTTCACAAAATGAATGAGCTAGAACAAAAATTGATAATTAAACTGAACCACTTGTCAATGTTTAAAGTGTATAGCTTCCTGATATATGGTAGAAGTTTGTATTCCAGAAAAGTAAAATAATTGAAAAAAAATAAACTGAAAGCTACTCTGAATTTTTTTCTTCCGTTTCACGACCCATTAACCAACATGCTGAGTGGAAGGGCAGAGAACTTGTCATTTTCACTTGTGAGCATACATTTACTATTTCCTCTGTTTTACAATTATTTTTTCGAGAAATATTGTTAAAAAATAATAACGTGACATATCAATCCATGACATTTTTACCATGTGTGAAAATTCAAACATAATAATTTCTCTCCCAGAGAGAGTTTTTTCTGGACATTAGAATAGGACTTGAGCCAAAATCCCTTTTTTTTTTTTCTTTTTTGTGCGATTGTTATCGCAACCTATGTTACCTCCAACTCTTCTTACTCACAACAAAGAGTTAATGTCCTGTTCTCATTGCATTGCAGGATATTAAGACAGCAGATTGGTCTCAATATGTTGCCCCATTTTGGCCTGCAGTAATTCGCTCTGCATTGACATGGAAGGGCCTGTCATCTCTGCTGCGAAGTGGTAAGCTTACCTTTCATTGCTAGTGATTACTGTTCTTTTTTTTTCCCTATTTTTGTTTCATTTAATTACATGAAAACGTGTCTTGACAAGCTTTCATAGTTTGCTTTTTTTTTGAAAAACAAAAAGATAAAAGGATGCATACTTGGTTATGAATCTTTATGTGCAAGAATATACATTATATGTCATCATGCAAGGGTGTATGGGAAGACTTTTTATTGCAATAAGTTTAAAAAAGTCTAAATAATCATGCACTTTAAATTATCTACTTACTTAAAAATTTTTATTGGTTTTGACGATTTCTAAACTTTTAATTTTTTTTTTTAGATTTAGTTCATTCAATGATTTTTTAGCTATAGTTTTTCTTTTTAAAAAAATTTCAATTTTTGGTATTTTGAATTAAATTTTTGCACACATGTTGAAACAAATTCAATCTATTTTTTAGAAAAAAAATTCAGAATTTTTCAGAATAAAAAACTACATTTATTTATTTTTTTTAACATTAAAAATATAAAAAAATAAAAAATAACTTTGAAATAATCTTAAATTTTTTTGAGGAATCCAATATAAATTTCACTGAATGATTTCTATTGTAAAAACATTTTTGTGATTGTTATTTTTAGAAATAAATGACAAAAAATTAAAGGATGGGTTAAATCTTAAAAAAAAAAAAAAATTAAAAGTTCAAAAATTTTCAAAATCAATAAAAAAATTTAGAAATTCAATCTCAAATAATTTAAAATTAAAGACATGTTTAGACCTTTTTAGCTTTCCAATAAGACTATCTAAATAAATAAATCATACAAATTTGATATAAATTGTTGCCATTTGATCACCATTTAATGCTTTTGAGACTCTTATAGTTTATTTGTATGATTAGTCTTTTGACACTTGCATTATTTAACTAATCTATAATATATATATTTTTTAAATTCTAAAAAAAAGAAAAAATAGGCGCCTAGCTAAAGGTAGATTGTCTTGCCCAAGAGGTGGGAATAGTTGAGAACAAAGTGGCAAACTATAAATTTTTTGATAATTATAATTAAATTAGTTCTTTAATTTCTTACCATATAATATCACTTTAACTGGACTTCAAATAAAAATAGGGACATAAATTTAATTATGTTTTGGAATTTAATAATTAATAGTTAAGATAAATGCATATAACTCTTAAAAATAATAATCACTAAAAAATATTCAACTATCATTATATTATGAAAGTTTTTTTTTTTTTTTTAAATAGTTCTATTCATTATATGTGAAGTGAATATAAATTAACAATACAAACGTGAAACAAAAATTATAGGTTTTTTTTTTTAAATAAACATTGCTTTTTTGTTAATATTATCAATGCTTGTTTAGAGGAGTAAAATAAAATGTAAGACAACAACAAAAAAAAACCTATAAAAACTTAAATAAGGATTCAATTTAATAATTTGTTGAATTTTGATGTTACGTAATTCTTTTTGAATTTTAATACTTTTATGTTTTTATTAACTTGTTTTAAAGTCTTTTTAGAGTTTTGATCGTCAAAAATAAGTATCAATATATTATTATATAGTTTAAGAGTGATTTAAGTAATTTATTATATATCATTTGGGTCTTTTATGCAGTATATAGATAATAAAAAAATATGAAAACGAAATCAACCTATATTTTGAGATTCATTAAAACATAGTCTATTTTTTTTGAATTAATAATTATTTTTTTAGAATTTTATCAATATTGGTCTTTTTCTTAATTAGAAATGAGGTTGGATTTACTTATTAGTATTTAGTATACTATAATATTAACATTGTATTAAGGGATAATAGTCAATCAAAAGTTTAAAGAATTCGTATTTTTATATATAATTATGTATTTGTTTGACGGTAAACAAGCTTCCTTCTGAGCTTGAGACTTGAGTACTTCCCTTGTAACCCTATGAGGAAGGGACCTCAGAGTAGTTTTTCCTATTAATTTTATACCGTTAGTGCTTTTTGTTATATGTCTATCTTACCATGAATTGATCAGGTATGAAAACCATCAGAGGAGCATTGGTGATGCCATTGATGATTGAAGGATACAAAAAGGGTCTAATTAAGTATGCCGTCATTACATGTAGAAAGCCCGAGTAAATTTGAGGACTGCATTCTGTAGATGCAGGAAGCTACAAGGTTTTGAATAAGGAATGGCTGAAATATTTCCAAGGTTTATAGAAATAAAAGAGAAGGAAAGGGGGAAAGGGTGTGCTGGCCAGAATTATAGCATTGCCAATTTTTTTTTTTTTTTTTTTTTTTTCCCTGTTTTACAATGCTAGTCAGCTACTTTCTAGCTAGCCTTTGTTATATATGTTTGATGGTTGTGCATCGATAATTTACGGGATGCAAGGAGAAGGTATGTGACGGTTGCTGCAGTTGGTAGGGCTTGGAATGGCCTTTTTTTTTTAAGGGGAAAAAGGCTTTGTTCTGAATGGAGTAAATGATGATTAAGCGTCCATACTTTTATTATTTTTGGGTTTAGGATTCTAGGTTTTTTAATAAAATACATTAACCCAAAAATAACAACATTTTTTTTGTTATATTTTCAAGTTTTGATTTTTTGTTATCATCAATAAGTTTTGATTTTTTGTTATCATCAATAATGGGTTCCATAATAAAATTTACATATTTCTATTTATCAAATATGTCATCAATTTAAAAATAGAGATACTTATTTGAAAAAGGATAAAGACGCTTGATTAAAAAAAAAAAAAAAGAAGTTGTAGATCAATTAGCGTTATTGTCCTTTTTTTTTTTGTTTAAGTTTTAGAGTTCAATCACTTATATAAATTCAATGCTTCCTCTTATTCAATTTTTCTAATAAATATCTTTATTTATTTATTATTCAAGTGTGTCCACTGTAATGTTCTTTTATGTATAAAAGAACATTGTGATACTTACTAGAAAGTTAGAATGAGTAGAGGAACTGAATTTTTATTAACTTCTTTAATGCAATGCACGAAAAAAGTCACATGATTGTCTGGCCATATGTATATTTTCAATTAAGTGTCTTCATTATTAAATTATTGAGGACATACCCAATAAATGAACACATGCCATCCTTAATAAAGAAAAATTATTTAATAAAAAAGAAAAATAACATTAAATAATAAAGATGCAAATCGTATTTTCCGAGCCCTTCTTCCGTATGTTGTTGAGAAATCTTAAAACACGATAACTTGAAAACAATAATAAAAAGGGTTTCTATGGCATATTTTGCTCTTAAAATATTATAATTTGGTAATTTTAGATTCGTCACATCAAATTACGTAATTTAAATCCCAAATTATTTGGAATTAGGTAAATGTGATCAAAATTACCCGATCCTGTTATTTTTAACCTTCAATTGTTAGTTCATACTATTAGACCTTAATGCAATAAAAAAGATTTTAGAAAAGAAAGTAGCAAACGGGAGTCATATGTTTCTCTTATTTAATATCGTGAGGTAATAAATCTTCTTATCTATCACCTAAAAATGTAGATGTGAATGTTGTTTAAAGTGGATAGACAATAATAACTGGGAAATGCAATTGACAAAGGTTGCTTCCACGATAACATCCTCCCGGAATCAAGTCCGAGAGCCATTAACAACACATCATAACATAAAAGTCGGAAGAATAGAGAGAAACTTGCTATATGAGCTTTCTAGGGCTTGTATAAGCAACTTTAACCATGGTGCTTGCTACTTATTAGATATCAAACAACTAAATGTAGAAATAGGAAAGTCCTCGAACAAAAAATATAGAAAATACATAATCTTTTTATCTTGGATATGATGAATATCCATATCCACATTATTGTGATTGCCTATTAAAGTAGGCTTACCTAGGATTTGCCTAGAACCTTATTATTTTTCCTCGACTATTCGTTGAACCGATTACCCATATCTAAGATGATATGTCATAGAGCACCTTATTTGCTAATGATAAATTTGTTGAAGATGAAACCAACATTGGGATAAACTACGAGTTAAGTTATGGAAGAGTGCCACTTCGATCCAAAGTTTTCAAGTTTAGGAAAGCTAAGGGGTTGTACTGCTAAGTTAAAGTAAAAGAGCTAAAATATAACAATTTTCAATGTGTAGATTCCATCATTCAAAGCCAAAGAATGTTGAGGAGGATAATTACCAATAGATTCGAGAGATGGATCGTTGAAATGCGAAGTACGACGGAGGATTATGTTGTGCAAATATCCCTACTAGTTGAATCTATTGCAAATATGCGAAGCTAAGTGAGTGAAAAAGAGAGAATCCTATGCTACCTTCGAGGTACTAAGGATTTCGAGATTAGATATTTGAAAGAAAAAGACAACAAGTTGATTGGTTTTACTTGATAGTGATTGGGCAAGGAGTCTTGATGATAGGAAAAGCACATCGGGAATTGTTTTTTGCTTATGCTCAAATGTCATTTCATGGAGTTCAAGGAAGCAAAGTTCAATTGCATTGTCTTCGACAAAAGCTTAATACATAGTAGCTAATGAAGCGGTTGTGAAGTAATTTGGTTAAGGAGAATTCTCTCGATTTGTAACAAGAAGGTTTCGGAACCTACTATCATTCTATGTGACAACATCTCGACCATTGCAATGACAAAGGATCCTATTTTTCATGCAAGGTCAAAGCACATTGAATTGCGGCATCATTAAATTCGTGATATGGTTAACAAGAAAGAGCTTTATCCGGACTTCATCAATACCAATGATCAACCAACGAGACATTCTCACTAAAACGAGTATCTTTAGAGAAATTTTATCGGTTCAAAAAGTTCTTAAAAATTACAAATCAAGAGGGGATGTTGAGAAGTGCAAAGTAATTTATGATTTCAATATCAACATTCATGTGAGTCAAAGTCTCTTTGTGTTTTCTAGAGTTTTTAGAATGTGTAGTCTTTTTGGTTACTAGAATTCATTCATGTTTACTAGATGTCTTTTATGGTTTCTAGACTTAGGAACTTATTATGACTCTAGGTTTCTCAATCAAGGATTTAATGTCGAATTCTATATATAGAGTCCTTCATTTATATGGTGTGTAATAAAAAAATCGGATCAATATATAAGTTATTGAGTTACGGCTCTACTTAAGTATTAAAATAAATCATGATGTGTTTTTTCTATCATCGAGACTCCATGCTCGATCACTATTAGTAAAACTAATCAGCTTACTATCTTCTTTTTTCAAATATCTAAAGTCCTTAGTACCTTGTCGGTAGTGTATGATTCTCTTAGCTGCTGCAAAATAAAGTTTACTTGGTTCTTTCATGAATCTAGAAATTAAACTCCTAGAATGAACTATATTTGGCCTTGTGTTTATGAGATAAATCAAGGAATCAACAAGGCTTCGAAACATTTTTTAGTTAACCTTATCTGCATCATCATCTTGCTTGTAATTTCTCATTAAGCTGCAATAGGAGTTGCAATTGGTTTGCAATTTATCATTTTAAACTTCTTTAGCAAGTTTGCAATATATTTTTCATGAGAGATAAAAACTCCCCTTTTGATTGCTTCACTGGATTCCAAGAAAATACTTCATAAGCCCTAAATCCGTCATCTTATATTCTTTTATCATCACATTCTTGAATTCTTCAACCATTTTAACATTAGTGCTTGCATATATCAAATCATCAACATAGAGACAAACCATAAAAAAAATCTGCTTTTTTTTCTTCATATAGAGAGATACCTCGGATAGACTTCTTTCAAAATGATTTTCATAAAAATACAAGTCTATTTTGTTATTCCATGCTCTCGGAGCTTGTTTCAAGCCATAAAGAGCCTTGTGAAGTCAATAAACCTTTTTTTCTTTTCCTTCAAATACATAGCCTCGAGGTTGCTCTACATAAACCTCTTCTTTCGGTTCCCCATTGAGAAAAGTTGACTTGATATCTAGTTGAAAAACTTACAATTGTAATTGAGTCTGCTAAAGCAAAAACAATTATGATAGTTTCCATCCTATCAACATGTGTAAATATTTACGTAAAGTCTACTCCGGGCTATTGTGAGTAGCCTTTTACAACTAGTCTTGCTTTGTGCTTTTGAATGCTTGTCATCTTCATTATGCTTAGTCTTGTAGACCTATTTCAAGCCAATTGCCTTCTTTTTTGTTGGAAGATCTACTAACACCCAAGTTTGGTTCTTTTAAATACATTTTCAACATTCATAGCCTTTCTCCATACTTTCTCCCTTACGAGCTTCTTCAAAGCTACGTGGCTCATAAGCAAAGAAAGTAACATTATTAGAATCATAAACATCACTAAAAAATCTATACTTTCTTAGTGGTGAGTCCGAGTCCGAATCATCACTTGGAGGGTTGGCCATAAATGGGCTAGCTTCATTTTGAGAAGTTGTGATAGCTGCTATGTTGAGTAACCATGTTGGAATCACCTAGGCTGATTTGTAGCTTTAAGAAAGTCAAATGTTACGGGTACATGAATGACATCTTCTTCCTATTTCATGTAGTTGTCTCATAAAAAAATAACATCTCTTGAAAGTACTTAGATGATTCTTTTATGGATTGAAGAGTCGAAAGCCTTTAGACTCATCATTCTACCCGAGTGAAGATGTGCTTCTCGCCTTTCTCATCAAATTTCTCTCTGCTTTGGGAAGGAACAAGTGCATAAGCAATACGACAAAAAACTTTTAAGTTGACTTACTATAGGTTTGTAGTCGTGCCAAACCTCAAATGGAGTTCGATTATGAATTGCTTTCATTGGAGAATGATTAAGAATGTATCTTCTTGTATTGACGACTTTATCCTATAATTAGTTGGGAAGCCTTCGCCTTTAAGCATGTTTCGTGCCATCTCCTTCATGATGTGGTTTTTTCTTTCTGCCATGTCATTTTGTTGAGGCGTGTCTCACGATAAGCTATCTTTAGATCCTATTCTCCTTGCAATAATCAATGAAAGACTTGTATATGAACTCTCTTCCACGATCCGTTCTTAATGTCTTTATTTGATAGCTACTTTGTCTTTTTGCAAAAGCTTTGAATTGCAAAAACATAGAAAAACATCTGATTTTTTATCAAAAAAATAAATCCATATCATCCCGGTATAGTCATCAACAAAAAGAAGAAAATATCTCTTATTACTCGGAGATGGAGTTCAAGTTGGACCACTAATATCTGCATGTACCAATTCAAGAGGTGCATTTGCTCTCTAAGTTGTTTTTGAAAAAGGAAAATGATGCATCTTCCCATATATGCATCCTTCACGGACTCCAGTCTTGTTCTAAACGCGAAGGAAGTCCAACTACCATGTTCTTCTACTTCAACAATTGCAAGCCATTGAAATTCAAGTGGTCATATCTCAAGTGCCACAAATAAGACTCATCCGTATGCTCACTTCTAAGTGCAACATTCTATAATGACTTCATGGTTAATGGAAAATTGTTGTTAGATCTCTTTTTACCACTAAAATCTTTTGATTAGCTTTCATATAAAAAATTTCACATCTATCATCATTAAAAATCAATTTATGGCCTTTTCTCATCATCTCGTCCAATGCTAAAAAGGTTTTGACCAATGCTAGGAGAATAAAAGACATCATGGATGTGTTTTTCATTACCTATATTAGTTTGGACTCCAATGACTCCTTTACCTTCAATCTTAACTTTTTTGGAATCACCAAGTATAACTTTAGAGGAATAGTTCTTATCAAGATCTACAATGGTTGATCGATCACACGTTATCCGGTGATCTGTAGCCACTATCTAGGTACCAAACATCTTCACCTTTATGCTCCACATTCATGCAAGAGTAAAACAACCGATCATCACCTTTAGAGAAATTAGCTATATTTATATCTCCACTATGTCTCCTTTATCTCTATGTCAATAATTTCTCTCGGAATAATTAGGATTTACGCATCCGGTGCATTTAAAGTAATAATTTCTAGCTTCATGGCCGGACCTCTTACAAATGATGCAATGAGAAAAGTTGTTGTCAAACCTTTTTCGTTGTTGAAATTCGATCTAGCTATGACTTTGCTTCGGCCTCTACCTGCGTTCGATTCGTCCTCCATGTCCTCTACCATAGGATTCTCTTCTCAGAATGAACCCTATTTCTACTCCTGTTGGAATCTTGAATTCCTTTCGGACAAATTAGCTTTGGTCCGAAAAACTTGCTCCAATGGTTGCTTGTTGTACAAATTCACCCTCTACTCATGTGCTTCAAGAGAACCCATCAATTCATGAATTCTAAGTTTTGATAAGTCTTTTTTCCCTTTTATGACAACAACAATATGCTCAAATTTACGTGGTAAGCTTCAAGGATCTTCTTAAAAATTTTCTTTTCGAAATAATGTCACCACAATTCTTTATCCGGTTAATGATCTCCGTAGCCCTTTAAGAAAAATTTCGGACAAGCTTATTATCTTTCATTGTAAGATTATCAAATTCTCTCAAAAAATTCTGCAACCTTATGGAGATGGCTTTCTACGAGCCTTTAAATTCATTCCGCAAATTTTCTCATGCTTCTTTTGCTTTCTTAATAGAAAAAATTCTAAGGTAGATGGATTTACTCACCCCTTGTTGGATGATTCTCAATGTTGTGGCATTTCTCTACGGATTCTCCATGTACTCTTTCTCATCTTCATCAATCTAGGAAGATGATGCTCCTATTCGAGGCCGATCATTAAAACCTTCATCCACCAAACTCCATAAACCTTGTGAAAGAAAGATTGTTTCCATTTGTGAGCTCTAGTATTCATAATACTATCTATCAAAAATAGGAATCGAGTTGTTGTATATGTGAAGTGGAAGATTATTAAGCCATTTGAACAAAGTTCTAATACCAAATTTGTTAGAAATATTCGGTAGCTAAGTGAGTGAAAAAGAGAATTTTTTTTTTGATGAAAATACTTAGGTAGAGCTACAACTTAATACCTTATATATTAATCGATATTTTTTTTATTATACACCATACAAATGAAGGACTCTATATATAGGATTCGACATTAAATCCTTGATTGAGAAACCTAGAGTCATAACAAGTTCCTAAGTCTAGAAATCATGAAAGGCATCTAGTAATTATGAATGACTTCAAGCAACCACAAAGACTACACATTTCAAAAACTCTAGAAAACACAAAGAGACTTTGACTCACATGAATGCCGACATTGAAATTACAAATTACTTTGCACTTTTCAACGGAATCCTAAGTTCAATGATATTGTAGTATGTTCATTTGAGTGTTTGGGTACCTTTAAAATTTCAACTCGCCACGAAAAGGATTTAAAACTTCAAAGAAAAAACTTTAGTTTTGAAGATTTATTTTCATAATCATCAAAACTCATAATATCCTTTTTGTTTAGGGCATTTTACATTTAAGAATAATCCGATGATCCTTTGCAACCTCAATCGAAAGTTAAACTACTTTTCTTATGAATTGATTAAATTTAATTCTTGTTACATGTGTAGTAGAATACTAAAATTTGAATTCAATCGGGGATCTTTTAGATACATAAGCTGCTGAAGAATGGGGAAAAATATACGGTGAATGTCCCTCGGGTATCATTATAATTTCAAGAAATACATTACTAGCTTTGAGTAAATTGTAAATCATTCATCTCATATCTAATGACTATCTTGATTATCTTTGAGTTATGTGAAACAAATCGGTTTCCATTTGCTTTATTATAAAGCTTTTGGCATCCGGTAGAAACATGAGACTTTGATTTGAAGAGTCATCCTATCAAGCTTCTCGAAAACCAGTTATGCTTTCGAAGTGTTTGATGCATGTGAATACATGGTTTGTTTTGTGATATAGGGGTGCGCACGTTAATACTTTGGCAATTTTTGATAAACTAGCCTTCATGGTTACTTGTTCCTAGTTTTAATGATTTATGTGAGATATCCAAGGATTGTTCTGGTAAAAATAAACTACCCTTGTTTCTTACATTAAATTACTTTTAATTATGTGCATTATTTGAATGATATTGCTACTCCAGAGTGTGTGTTGGGATGATTCCACTCATGATATCCATAAGCTGTTATTTGTTTTAACATTTTTTATGCATTCATATATGTATAGATACTAGCTTTGTTGGTTTTCTTGTCATTTGACACTCTTATGTTTTCTCCCTTACAATCCTGGATTGTTTTCGACATGGTTTGATGACAATCTTTTCATCATTATTTGTTTGTTATTTGGTAGACCTATATTGATTTGGGACTTCGAGATAAAAGACAACCTACCTATTTTGAATGATCTGGAATTTGATCATGTATCAACTTATCTTTATTGAATTTTACTCTTATAGATTCATGACAAAGTGAAGAAGTTGTTATCTAAATGTAAATATGAGGATTGCAAGAGTTTGGGGCAAGATTTAAGCACCATATCCAAGTAACGCTTTTGTTTTCTTCTCTGTCCAGCATTTAAATGATGCATTTTCATCTTTGTTATTTTTGGTGAAATTTGATTTGACATTAGGCAATTTATGAAGCATGCTACAATTATTTGTGAGTCTTATCGTATTGGATATCGGTTCGATTCATCGGCTAAATCTAGAAATGAGTAATTTAGCTTTATGATTATTTTATGTTTTTTGTCCGATCGGTTCTTTTTGGAATGAGTGGATGGTTTTTTCTCTTAATCCTAGCAATCGGAGGGAGAGGCTAGACTAACTATTGGAGGGGCAAAGTTAGAAACGTCTGGAGGCTTTAAGAATATCATGGCATATGTTGAAATTTTGGGATTGCTTAGTAATTATTTTTAAGGGATTACATGAAAACATGCCTAAAAGTTAGGGACTGACGTGAATTTTTGAAATTTTGTTTTTGTTTTTGCTTTTTATTTTTTTGGGGGCGGCAGGCATGGCTTCCTCACTACTCTTGGCTGACAAGCCGCATCTGCTGGCAATGGCGGAAGCAATTAATTTTTGTGAAGGTCAACTTAAAAAAGAAAAAAGAAAAAAAGGTTTCTGATATATGACGAAATTCTAAAGCCATGGAATTCGAAACACGTTGTAAGAGCGATTGACCATGTAAGAAACCAGTGTGAAACTTTCAACATGTTTTATATATACACAGAAGTTTGGAATCATTCCTCAAAAAATTGAAATGTTGATAGAAGTTAAAAAGCAGAAAATTTGATCAACAGTAGGTGAGCAAGTGTGCAAGCTATGCATGAGGTACGGTTAAGTGAAAAGTATTCTTGGAGTTTAGGCGCAAAGCATATGATCATGCCAGAGTGAAATAAGGCACACATGTTTGAAGTTAAATCTTATTATTTACGACAAATACTTAACACGTTATAGCAGAATGCTCAAAAATCATAACAGAAGTATTATTAGTTCATAGATCAAAATGCACGTGCATGTGGCTGGTATTAATGCAGTTAAATATTCAGTTAAAAGAAAGTAGCCAACCAAGCCAAGAAAGAGCAGGAATACAGACTGGATACTCCTCCCTAACCATGCTCTCTAATAGCTTTGCAGCTCTCTCATTTACTGCTATGGAGTCTTCAATTCTCAAATGTTTACGAGATGCATGTCTCCTGTCACATTTGACAGCAAAGATGATGCTTATGGAATTAGTGATTTCACAATCACACAGTGAAAAACAATGTCAAAAGACAAAGATTATGATGCAAAAACGAGCAGCAGCAGGTAGTCAAAATTTGAATCATAAGATGTAATATGGATGAAACATTGGTCAAAACTGCCAAGTCTCTCTTGAAAGAGATGCTATCAATTAGAACTAATCAAGGTAACCCAGCAGTTCAGGACAACAATGTAGGGTAGATGGCAAAGCAGAATGAAGTTTTGATCGAAATCTCACAAAATTTACCCGCACAAGACAACCATATGTTTTTTGTTGAAATTTGAATCCACGCTTGACCTGTTACTGATAATGTTCCTTCCTAGCTACAAATTGCTAGCAAACCCATAGCAGAACTCATGAAAATAATGTAGGGATTCTGATGCTAAGAGTATTTAGTTTCTATCAATACTCAAACACAGAATAACAAAACCATCTCATACACATATTAATGTAGGAATCACAAACCCTACGTTAGCTGTCTATCTTTGTCAGGAATATGACAGTACTTCCTTTACATGTCCGTCAGTTCTCGCTAATACAATATTACTGCATGTTGCTCAGTTATTATCGTTAGTGTCCATATCTGTTTGAGTTATAACTCAAAATTCTTTAAAAAATGAGATCCTCAATAGTTCTTTTAAATATCCCTGCGAAAAATACTTTTTAACTGATTATATCACTCCATCATAGATGCTTTAAGGGTGACAAATGAAGTGAAACAGCTTACAGGGAATTTGATGAACGTCCAAGTGAAAGAAGAGAGCATACAAACAAGCATCCAATAGGTCCTCGATGACATTAAACACCCTGTCTCAGGGTTAAGAGTATTTAAAGGACTTCTATTTTGATTCAGTGTCACCCTGTCTCATAGCTTAAGAGTATGCTGATAAAATTCCAATCCAGAAATCATGCCTTAAGAGTATCCTGCCTCATAGGCTACACTACTCAATACCAACGGTTGGGATTATATTATCTGACTTTAAGCGATCAGATTTGCAAACCAAAAGAGTAAAAAAGAGAGAGGATGTTGGACCAGCGGTTGGGAGATAAAAACAAACTGCTGCAGAGAAGATGGTGGACCAACGGTTGGGAGATAAAGACAAACTGCTGCAGAGAAAATGGTGGACCAACGGTTGGGAGATAACAGTACCAATGATCTCATTGAACAGATGAACAGATGTTTTAGTTTTTGATGAATGAATTGAAGATTGTTGGAGATAAGATTTGATGATTGTTGCACAAAATCTATTGATTGCTCAAAACAGAAGATATAAAATCACAAAACCCAACGACTGTAGAAGGAGAAGATGGAGGATTGGGAGACAAAAAAGTTAATGATCTCATATTAAGAGACTTATAAAATCAAAGATTCCAGCAAAGCAAAGCAAATGAGTTCCATCACTACCGGCTTGCTACTATCCAGCACGTCCCAACCTCAAGTCTTCCACAGCATCCGCACGCGCAAACCCCTTTCTCCCCTCCACAAATATCTCACGTGCCTTGCTTTAACACCAAGTCATTCCCGGATGGCACGTTGTGCAGCGGCAAGCACGGACGGTACCGATACTCGAGAGGTTAATCAAGGCATAGCACAGTTCTACGACCAGTCGACTGGTGTCTGGGAGGACATATGGGGAGACCACATACATTACGGGTTCTGCGACCCGGTTTCCGGGACTGATTCGGATCACCGGGCTGCCCAGATACGAAGGATACAAGAGGCCCTCAGTTTCGCCGGCGTTTCGGGTTTGTTACTTATTTCTTGCTGGCTCTCTTTCCATTTATCATATCTCAACTCCCAAAAATGACCTTACTATAAACGCAAACTTACGTGGCTTACTGTAACTGTTACCTCCTATGGTTATCATCATCATTATGGTATTTAGTTATTACGTGTTTTGAATCAATAGTCACAAGGAGAAAAGTTTTTATTTTATTTTTTTCATTTGGATTCCCAACTTTTTAGTTGTCCAATTAAATTATTTTCCACAATCTTATGTCACAGTAAAAAACTGTTTTATTTTTAGAGTTTTTAGTCTGAGATTGGTTAATAAAATAATAAAAAAAAACTATACAAAAAAAATTGGTTAGGGACTTTTTTTTCTTTTGACAAATAATTCAAGATATTATGTAACTAATTAGCCTTATTATTATGCTAATAAATACTGTGTTTTGATGAGTGATTTTGTGAATATGTAATTTTAATTGCCTACTGAATAATCAATCTTTGTCAAAACTGCATTTTGTTTTTTTTTTTTTGATAATTAGATGTGGTATATAATGAAACAAAGCATGTGTTAGTATGTGAATGAGAAGAAGCTTGAAAATAAAGTCTTGGTCCATTAATTTTGTATCTGAATTGGTAACTAGAGGACCCAGGAAAAAGGCTAAAGAATGCGCTTGATGTTGGGTGTGGGATAGGAGGCACCACCAAGTACATAGCAAGGAAACATGGAGCCAAATGCATAGGCATCAACCTTAGTCCCATCCAAATCCAGAGGGCCAATGCTCTTGCTGCAGCTGAAGGATTAGCTGACAAGGTATGTGTTCCAACTTTCGAAATATTTTACATTAATTTGAGCTCCAATTTCAGATGCATTAGAGCAGCCATTTTCAGATGGGCAGTTTGATCTGGTTTTGTCAGTGGAGTGTGGAGAGTATATTCCTGACAAAAGAAAGGTTTAGCTGCTTCCTTGCACCTACTAGGATCACTTATTGTTCATTTCTACACTTAAATTGCCCATTTCTTGTTTTTTCCTATTTCTTGTTATGCTTGGTTATATATGTGAAGTTGGTCTCCCTGTTTGTTCAAACTGGCAGTTTGCTGCTGAGTTGGCTACTCTGAATGAGCTAGACCCATTAACCAACATGCTGAGTGGAAGTGTAGAGAATTTGTCATTTTCGCTTGTGAGTACATATTTACCATTCCTTTTTTTTTTTTTTTTTTTTTGTGATTGTTATCATAACCTATGTTACCTCCAAATCTTCTTACTCACAACATGGAATTAATGTTTTCATTGCATTGCAGGATATTAAGGCAGCAGATTGGACTCAATATATTGCCCCATTTCTTCCTTTATTATTTCGCTCGGCATTGACATGGAAGGGCCTGTCATCTCTGCTGCCATCTCTGCTGCGCGGTGGTAAGCTTAGCCTTCATTGCTAGTGATTACTGTTCATTGTTTTTTTTTTCTCCCTATTTTTCTTTCATTTGTTTACATGAAAATGTGTCTTGACAAGCTTTCATAGTTTGCTGTTTTTCTGAAAAAGAAAAAGAAAAAGGATGCATCCTTGGTTATGAATCTTTATGTGCAAGAATATACATTATATGTCATCATGCAAGGATGTGTGAGAAGATTTTTTATTTCAGTAAGTTTAAAAAAATCTAACCACTCATGAACTTTTAATTATTTGAAGCAGAGTACTTAAAATTTTTTATTAGTATTGAAAATTTCTAAACTTTTAATTTTTTTTTCTGATTTATCCATTCCATAATTTTTAGCTATAATTTTTCTTTTAAAAGGAAATTATAATTTTTGGTATTTTGAGTTAAATTTTTGCGCACATGTTGAAACAAATTCAATTTATTTTGTAAAAAAATTTCAGAATTTTTCAAAATAAAAAACCATATCTGTTTATTTTTTTAACATTAAAAGTATTAAAAAATTGAAAAAATAAAAAATAACTTTGAAATAATCTTAAAATTTTTGAGGAATCCAATATAAATCTCATTGAATGATTTCTATTGTGAAAATATTTTTGTATTGTTACTTTTTGAAATAAATGACAAGGAATTGGAGGATGGGTTATTTGTATGATTAGTTTTTTGACACTTGCATTATATAACTAATTTATTATATATAGTTTTTTAAAATTCTATAAAAAGAAAAAAGGGCTCCTAGCTAAAGGTAGGTTGTCTCGCCCAAGAGGTGGGAATAGTTGAGAACAAAGTGGCAAACTACAAATTTTTTGATAATTATAATTAAATTAATTCTTTTAATTTCTTACCATATAATATAATTTTAACTGGAATAAAAATAAAAATAGGGACTTAAATTTAATTATGTTTTGAAATGTAATAATTAATTGTTAAGATAAATACATATAACTTTTAAAAATAAAATCACAAAAAAATATTCACCTATCATTATATTATGAAACTTTTTTATTTTAAATAGTTCTAATCATTATATGTGAGGTGAATATAAATTAACAATACGGACACGATACAAAAATTATAGGTTTTTTTTTTTTTAAATAAATATTGCTTTTTTGTTAATATTATCAATGTTTGTTTAGAGGAGTAAAATAAAATGTAAGATAATAACAAAAAAATAACCTATAAAAAATTAAGTAAGGATTCAATTTAATAATTTAATGAATTTTGACGTTATTTAATTATTGTTTAATTTTAATACTTTTATGTTTTTATTGGCTCGTTTTAAAGTCTTTTTAGAGTTTTGATAGTGAAAATAAAGTATTAACATATTATTAATTATATTGTTTAAGTGTGATTTAAGTAATTATCATTTGGGGTTTTTTAATGCAGTATATAGATAATAAAAAATATGAAAACGAAATTAATCTATATTTTTAGATTCCTTGAAAAATTGTCTATTTTTTTTTATGAATTAATAATTTTTTTTTTAAAGAATTTTATCAATATTGGTCTTTTTCTTAATTAGAAATGAGGTTGGATTTACTTATTAGTATTTAGTATACTATAACATTAACATTATATTAAGGGATAATAGTCAATCAAAAGTTTAAAGACTTCGTATATACATAATTATGGATTTGTTTGATGGTAAACAATCTTCCTTCTTATGTATTTGAGCTTGAGACTTGAGTACATCCCTTGTAACCCTACGAGGAAGGGACCTCGGCATGGTTTTTGCTATTAATTTCATACCGTTAGTGCTTTTCGTTATATGTCTATCTTACAATGAATTGATCGGGTATGAAAACCCTAAGAGCAGCATTGGTGTTGCCATTGGACTATGACGCCTTCAAGAAAGGTCTATATAAGTATACCATCATTACATGCGGAAAGCCCGAGTAAATTTGAGGACTGCATTATGTAGATGCGAGGAAGTCGTAAGGGTTTGAATAAGGAATGACTAAAATATTTCCAAGGTTTGTAGAAAATAAAAGAGAAGAAAAAGGGGAAAGAGTGTGCTAGCCAGAATTATAGCATTGCCAATTTCTTTTTCTGTTTTAAAATGCTAGTTAGCTCGCTTTCTAGCCCTTATATATGTATGATGGTTGTCTATCGTATGCATGGAGAAGTTATGTGATAATTGTTGTGGTTGGTAGGGCTGGTCTTTTTACTCTCTAGATCTAGTATACTTGCGGTAGCATCCCGAAAAGGTTTATTAAAATTTGATAATCAATAGTTAAGTTAAATGCATTTAACACTTAAAAACAATAATCACTGAAAAACAATAAACACTTAAAAACATATATCTTCGAGTTGATTCAAATTTTGTACTTTGTAATATATATTTTCTTGAATTATATATTTTAAAAGATCTAATTTTCCAGATGAGAATTGATATTTATAATTATCATATGTTTTAGTTTCAAATATTTACCTTTAATAATGAAATCATTACATCATAAACAATGATAAAATATTAGTAATAATTCATGATTTATAGTTTATGAACTTTGGTACACAACAAATTAAGGCCATAATTCACTGGATGACTTATTCATAAAATGCAATATCTACCAACACAATTTAATTTTGTCAATATATATATATATATATATAGCAATAAATTAAGGGCTACCTACTGCAGATAGTCCTCTTGATCGAATGTTTCTAACTGGAATCAAATAGTGATATTTCATAAATAAATGGTATTATTCCCAATTTATTTTTTTATTTTTTTTGTTATTCTCACTGCATTATTAATTGTAGAGACTAAAATAGCCTTATTTAATTAAATCATCGGAATAATAAATTTTAAAATTCTTATAAAAATTGTAAAAGAAAAAGAGTAGATATTATATCTAAATATTTATGAATGGATGGTATTATTCTCACTTTAATTTTTATTTTTTTGGTTATTCTCACTCCATTATTAATTATAGAGAATTAAATTGCCTTATTTAATAAAATCATCAGAATAATAAATTTTAAAATTCTTATAAAAATGTAAAAGAAAAAGAGTAGATATTTATATCTAAATATTTGTGACTTTATTTTTTAAAAAACACAAGTCAACATCAGTCAAAAGGACTCTCTGCAGTAGGTAGCCCTTAATTTATTGCCATTATATATATATATATATATATATATATATATAAAGTGAATTTTGAGTTTTCATTTGGAATGGTAGATATCGCAATTTTTCTTCTTCCGTACAATATATTTATAAAAGGAAAAAGATTTAATTGGTTGACACCGATTTTTTTCTTTTATGTGTGTGTGAGATTAAATTGGTTGACACTCGATTTTTTTCTTTTCTGTCCTTGAAAAAATTATTAGAAGTTATAAATGGATTGATCCTTAAAAGATACATTGTATGCTATTATGGAATAGTGATACATTAGAAATAAAGTCATGGTGCAAATATGGAATTGTGAGGGTAGCAGTGGCATTAGACTTATTGATGTTGTAATGAATTGTGTAAATGAAGGTATTGATGCAAATAATAGGGAAGAGTAATTTAATAATATGGATGGTTGTTATTGAAACCATTAGTATAAGACCCTATGTAGTGTCGGATATGCTTTTGGAAGCATTGAGGTAGGGCTTGTGTCGAGATAACATGAGGAGGGAAGATGGTGATAATGTTAAGGGTAACAATAAGGGGTGGGCAATGAAGAGGGAGAAAATAGTGACTCTAGTTTAGAAGACAATAAGGATGATTAAGATGGTTATGATAGTATATTAAAGTTGGATGATGAGATAAAATTGAGTTATGTGAAACAAATCAGTTTCTATTTGGTTTATGATAAAGCTTTTGGCATCCGGTAGAAACATGAGACTTTGATTTGAAGAGTCACCCTATCAAGCTTCTCATAAACCAATTATGCTTTCGAAGAGTTTGATGCATGTGAATACACAGTTTGTTTTGTGATATAGGGATGCACGCGTTAATACTTTGACAATTTCTAATAAACTAGCCTTCATGGTTGCTTGTTCCTAGTTTTAATGATTTATGTGGGATATCCAAGGATTGTTCTAGTAAAAATAAACTACCCTTGTTTCTTGCATTAAATTACCGTTAATTCTGTGCATTGTTTGAATGATATTGCTACTCCAAGTGTGTGTTGGGATGATTCCACTCATGCTATCCATAACTTTTATTTGTTTTAATGTTTTTTTATGCACTAATGTATGCATAGATCCTAGCTTTGTTGGTTTTCTTGTCATTTGGCACTCTTATGTTTTCTCCCTTACTACCCTGGATTGTTTTCGACATGCTTTGATGACAATCTTTTCATCATTATTTGTCTGTTATTTGGTAGACCTACATTGATTTAGGGCTTAAGATAAAAGAAAATCTACCTATTTTGAATGATCTGAAATTTGATCATGTATCAACTAATCTTCATTGAATTTTACTCTTATAGATTCATGACAAAGTGAAGAAGTTGCTATCTGAATGTACATATGAGGATTGCAAGAGTTTGGGGCAAGATTTAAGCACCATATCCAAGTAATGTTTTTGTATTCTTCTCTGTCCCGCATTTAAGTGATGCATTTTCATCTTTGTTATTTTTGATGAAATTTGATCTGACTTTAGGCAATTTATAAAGCATGCTACAATTGAATATTTTATGAGTCTTATCGTATTGGATATCAATTCAGCTCATTGGCTAAATCTGCAAATGAGTAGTTTAGCTTCATGATTATTTTATATTTTTTATCTTATGGGTTCTTTTTGGAATGACTGGATGGTTTTTTCTCTTGGTCCTGTCAATCAGTGGCAGAGGTTGGACTAACTATTGGAGGGGCAAAGTTAAAAAAGTCAGGAGGCTTTAAGAATATCATGGCATATGTTGAAATTTTGGGACTGCTTAGTAATTATTTTTAAGGGTTTACATGAAAACATGCCTAAAATTTAGGGACTGACGTGAATTTTTGAAATTTTCTTTCTGTTTTTGCTTTTTATTTTTTGGTGGCGGCAGGCATGGCTTCCTTACTACTCT